GATATGGAGAGATCCCCATGACTTCGGAAACGAAGTAATATTCGCTTGGATACCAGCTCATGTGAACATCATAGGCAATGATGAAGTTGATATACTTGCCAAAGAAGTAGTATCAACTGGGGATGATCAATCTACAGCTCTCCCTCACACAGTCCTGAGATCCATCACGACCAGATTCATGAAACAGGCGACAACTAGGTATTTAAAGGAAAGAGGAAAATACAAAGGAGAGTATTATTTCAAAAACTTTTATAAGGGTTGCAGTCAACCGTGGTTCCAAAGCCTTAAGATAGACCGACCACAAATCACCACTATATTCCGAAGGAGATCAAACCATCATAGCCTCAACTGTAGCCTTCATAGGAAAAGAATTACTGTTTCTCCTCTTTGTGAATCTGGCCAGGTCAAGAACGTCTCCTACATCTTAAGCTTCTGTCTGCTTTATAATAAGGAAAGAGCTACACTCTGTAAAGCTCTAGAAAAAATGAACATTCGTCATAGAGATATCAAAATTTTAATCTACAACCGAGATGCCAAAACCGCATACATTCTATACAATTACTTCAGCCCAATAAAAAAAAAAATTTGAATTTAAACCGGTGGACGGCCATCAGAAGACTTACAAATCCATCAGCAGAAGGAGCCAACAATATTAATTCTATAATTGAACATACCTAACTCAATAAATATAGCCTCCTAGCCAAAAACCACACTCATTAACGCATCTCGAACCAATCGAAACGAAGGACACTTTTCGTCTAAGTGGTCGCATTCTTTATTAGTTGATGGAAAATCAGTTGAGGGTAGTGGAAGGGAAAGTTGTATCGTGTGTCGATGCTTGGTAGCTTTCGTCGTTTTTGTGAGGTTATCAGGCGCGACTTGGCCGATACGCTACCGCATATCTCGATCTGGTTTTTATGATGATTGTTGAAAAATTTGAATTTTTCGTGAATTTCCCTGAAAGTGAGATTTTCGATGGTTTCTTCAAATGTGATGTTCCAATCTCATTCAAGTATGTGCGAATAAAATTTGTCAATTAACATTTTATCAAAGAGCTGAGAAGAGAGATATAATTGTAAAAAAAGACAATTGGTTGTATAGACGAAAAGGGATAAAAAGAATAATGATGCTGATGACATTCAACTAAGTTGAAAATCTGACAAAATTAGGTAAAAGAAAATCTTATTCAATTTAATAAAATGAAATAAACAATGCATTATACATGATACAAGGCAATTATGTGCCAAATAAAGATTCGGAAGTATATTGCTCATTTATTAGCAAAAATAACTATACCACATGCAATACAAGAGCAATTTCCCACCTGTTGTTTTTCATTTACATGAAGATATCTCTGATTTTTAGGCATTGATCATCAATTATTATTGATGCTCGGAACTGGCAATAATAAACTTAATCATAAATTAGTTTTATGATTGAAATTTGGTAACAGATTCTTGAAAATGAGATAGGCCTTCGAAAATCACTGACATATTCTTGAAAATAAAAACTTTTCCAATCACCTAAAAAATATAATGTTAAATTTTGAAGATTTGTTCATGTTTCATCACCACCATGGCGCTAAAGCCATCTTCAAATGTTTCTGAAGATATGTTTTTATGTGTGTCTGTGTGAGTAAGTACATGCATACCTATGCATGTAGTGAAATTTTATTCAACGGTTTCGCCTGAACAAATGTACTAATTTCACTTTTTGTTCTTTCAAAGGATGCGTTTACGTGAAACTTTGAAATTATTAGATTATGAATAAGATCACCTCGGCTTTTTGTTAGTTATTCACGTAAAGCTTGTTCAAGTAAAACTTGTAAAACAAACAGGGGGCCCAGACTTTCTATCAGAAGGCATGCGACCGTTACTGGATGCGTTGTTTGTCTTTTTCATTTTTAATTTCTACAAATTCCATTGGTAGCAAGCTTTCGAATGGATCCGTAGATATTTTATTTTTTTATTGAAAAAAAAATTATTTATCATTGAAAAAATGTAATCAACAAAACATTTGACCTTCTAAAATTGAGAATTAAATTTCGGTTTTATCGAGTGGGATAGGCATATCTACACGACCCTATTTTTAAGAAATATTTTCATATGAAAATTAATGGTATGACAACGATGTCATTTTATGCGAAAAACTATTTTTACATCAACTGCTTTAATGTATTAAATCGATCAATCTGAAATTTTACACAAGAGTGCAACTCGATGACACTAACTAGTTCTCAAAATTTTAGAACTTTATCACATCCTTCCCGCCTGTAATGGAACGTCAAAGCAACTTTCAGATGAAAAAAAAATAGTAAAACGCCAATATCTTGAGAACTCTTTAGGACCGTGTATATATATTTGGAAAGAACTGGATAGGAGATATCAAGACGAATATTGTGAAGAAAAAAATGAAATCGGATGAATAGTTTTTGAGATATTGAAAAATATACTTTTATACAAAATAGTATATTACTTTACAAGTGTGAAAAAGGAGGAATGTTAATACGAGTGGGGTAATGTTTTTAGGGAGAGTCGTAGGAGACGCGCGCGCGTTTTAAAATAGTATGTTTCGTTACGAGTGCGGAAAAGAGTTTTTTGGCTCGTAGGAGGTTTATAGCATGAGCCGAAGGCGAGTTATATAATTCCACGAGCCAAAAAACACTTTTCCCGCGAGTATCGAACGATATTTTTCATCACAATGTGTGGAAAAGGGACGTTTTAGGCACGCGAAGCGCGCCTAAAAAGTTACTTTTTCGCACAGCGTGATGAAAAAATATTAACACACGAGTTTAACGTTCCCTCTTTTTCATACGCGTAACGTTTACTATTTTTTGAAATAAGTGTTTGGAAAAGTCATCCTATTGTGGGATTGAAGTTTTGACTAAGATAGAGGATGACGAGGAAATGCTTCATGAAATCCGAGAGGCGACCGACTAATGCGTAATGGCTGCCGTATGGCTGATGTAATTCAGTCAAGACGATTATGGTTGAACTGAGGAGATTATGATCCTCAAATTTACCCCCACTTTTCCCAATCCCCAGTACAATCGGTGTCTTCCAGAACGATATTTTCAGCGGCGCACATAGTTACAGGAATAACGACACTGGATTGGTCGAAAACGCACCGACTGGTGTCATCTTTTAAACGGTGACATAGAAGTGAACCCTAAACTTGTAACTATAAAGTCAGCTGTTGCAAACGAAAATTAAATCCCGTAAACGAAAAGTGGATCCCGTAAGCGAAAAGTTACTTCTCGTTTTTCAAAAAATGAATATCGTTCAAACTACTCATTCGATTTTGCTCATCTGATATTCTAGCCTATAATATAGTAAGAGAGTAGAATCCTATCAAATTTCAAGTTTTTATCTCAAATATTTTCAAGCGTTATCATGCCCACATCAATTTTTTCACAAAAATGAAAAATTTCAATTACTGGGCGACTCGCAATGGTCAGCTAAACATATTAAGGTCCGATTCGATACATATTATCATAAGGAATACTTTGACGCCAAAAAAAGTTTGTATGATGCAGTAGCTTTCGGGATATTAAGAAAAGAATAATTTTTTGGAATCGCTGAATCTCAAAAATTACTGGACCGATTGAGCTGAAATTTCGTCCAGCTGTGCTCCTAAACAATATCAATTATAAGTCAAAATTTCAGGTTTTTATCCATTACTTTAGTTAAATCCCAGAATTGTACAAGCACATACAGACGTACACACAGATAATCTCTAAAAACATCATATCTCGACGTTTCATGACATTCTATGTCGTTTCCAAGCAAAAGTGGAGAATCGAAAAAGCAACCGACTACAAAGCTTCCATTCGGAAGCAAAAAACGCCAAAAAGCGACACTTTCATTGAAATTCGACGATTTTACTTGAGAAATCAAAGGGAATTTCAGTAGTTTTACGGAATCGACACGTTTTCACATAACTTGACTTTAATTGCATGTTGAGCGGAATCGCATCTCGGGTAGAAATCTTTTCACTCAATCCCCGCTTGCTATACAGTCAAGCCGCGGCTGAGTAATCGGCTTGATCGCGTGAGCGGAGTTGCACCCATATCTCCCCTTGAATTTCTGTATCGAATCAGCAGTTTTGGTGGACTTCTTCGAAAATGACTTCTTAAAATTTTTAACTTTTCAAAAATTTCCCAATGGTTTTCGTATTTTTATTACTTCGTAAATTTGTTTGCATTTGTACTGAAACTGGATTGCGACATAACTCAAAGCTGACTCAATTCCAATGAAAATCGTCGCAACAGTTATGAATTAATCCGGAGATAATTTTCAGAATTTTCGTTTTTTTCTTAATGAATGAAGGAAAAGTCGGGAAGTCGACCCGTAATAATGGGTCACACCCACTCCAACCCGTTCGTAATGGGAGGGAGCGAAGCAAACGACCAACAGTCGAATTCCAACCGACTTGCAGTGGCAGCGAGCGAAGCGAGCAAACAACAACGCTGTCGAATTTTATTTGAAGATTTCTTCTACGTTTTAATCTTCTTTCTAATCACGAAAAATTAACTTTGTCATAGGACTTTGTATTATTTTGCCATTTCTGAGATCATTGTTATCAATAAAACGAGACTGACAATTGAGCACGAAATCAACCAGAATGTTTTTATTTACATCCATTTCCGCTGAGAAGTTATTTCTGATTTTCATCTTTAAAATTAGAATTATCTATTTACTACTAAGTCTAATCTTGAAAATGCGCTCATCTCGCCAGAAAGTCATTTTTTTGAATTTTCTTTTCCAAGAGCACCGGAAAATTTCTAAATGCAATGAAATATTATTGTAAGGGTTTTTCTAATATATCCACTACTGAAACGTCCGAAAACAGAAAAAATCAGGACATATTTCCACGGTCAGTTGTACATAATAAATTTTGGAATAATAAGTTGGCGACTTTTTTGGAATAAAAATCTTTTCGAATTTTGCATTGATTAATGAATTATGAATTGATTGACCTCTCCATTTGTCTTTAGTTCCGAATACATACGGGAGGTGGTGAAGAGCTCGCCGTCTATATGAATAAAGATATCTTACCAAATGAGTGGGGCGGTAAAGCCGGCACCTTTGACGAGCTAAATGGTGAGTTACATCAATCATTTAACCCTTCACTTACGGGGACCTACCAGGCAGTGACCCTTGTCTAAATGGACGACTCTCTTCGAAATTGAATATTTCCGAAACTATGGAGGATAATTTAACTAAACAAGCAACATTAGCAAAAAGAATACTTTAGGTTCAATTATATATCTGTTTCACTATGATCCATTCAGCAAAAACGATCAGATTTGAGTGATAGTAAGCGTCCGACGCGGTTAGTAACAAAAATGCCCCATACGTGCAAGGTTAATCACAAACAAGGAATTATAAACATACTCATGAAGATAATCATCTTATTAAATGAACACTTAGACGCCTGGAGAACGAAAATCGAGAGGAACCGCGACTGGCTCTTGAAAGAAGAGAAACTCAGCAGAACAAATGAAAAAGTCAGACTAACAACATCATCGTCATCCCTCAATGCCGAGTTAGGGGGTATTCAGGGATCCTTCAGACAGTTGAATATTGATTAAGGTAGTAGAATTGGTACAATTTTTTATATATCAAAGTTAATTTTCAATTGTGAATTAAAGATGAGGATACAATATATTTAACATATTGGTGCATTTATTCTAATGAAATTCGACTGTCTCTTACTTCTCGTAATAAATTGAGAGAATATCAATTATGGATATATATATATATATGTGTATATCGGTTATTTCGAGACATTTCTGCCCATGTATAGTATTGTTTGAGGACAGATGGCTATTTTGGGGACAGTCCTCGTAGTTTTTTATACAGATCATGTACTTTGAGGACTGTCCTCAAAGGATACACTGTCGACACAAAGGTTAGTTCGAGAACTCAGGATTATAGGGACGTAAACGAGGACATTGTCCCCGAAGTCACCACTGACCGTTAGTATACTTTGGAGACACGGCATTTTGGCTGTGTTTGGATCATTATATGGATCATTGCGAAAGGCGCGCGTGATATTTTTCGCGGGGCTCTCACATTTTTCGAGCTTCTCACCGACGAAATTTCGGATCATTCCGAGTGTGTCTCTTTCACATTCGTCCTAATGTTTTTCAAGTCAAATGATGACGTGCATCGTTATGGATCGGTCAAGTCTGTACGTTTGACTCTCTAAAACAGACAAATTTATGAAATCGTCCCCTTTTTTCAGTCTTTTTTACTCAGAGGGTAATTGCAAATTATTCATTAATTAAATCGAAATTGATAATAAACTATCATTCATCGAAGCACTTGAATCATGTATTATGACCATGAGTATAAATTTCGATTTATATTAACAATTTCTTTCAGGGGGACCATGAAATTTTTCCGATTCCAAATGCATGGAACATATGGGGACTTTTTCAATTCTACTGTAGGAACATTATGAGGACATATGTCACGTATGGGGACATCCAGATCACACAATATGGACCCTATGAGGACTCAAATTTATGGATATTGCAATGATAGGCACATTTAAATATTGTTCTATATAAATGTCGATTCAAATAAAAAATACTTCATCATTCAATATTTTATATGAGTGAAAATACTCATCATCAATTCATTTAGTATTTAGAAACTTGGTAGAATACTGAATACTGTAACATTTATCTTTTTTGATACTCTTGAATGTTCAATAGGCAAGTATTTAGTATTGAGCACTCCTGTAATGAGGTTGGAGCGATAATTCTTATTAACATGATATTTCTCATGGAAAACAAGAGATCAGATAGTCAGATCAATCATGACAGTTAGTCGTCGAATTGTTTTTCAGGATACCGGAATATTTCTAGCAGTAGATGGTGTGAAGACCTATGCAGTATATGGGGACATTTGCATTCTACTATGCGTACATTATGAGGACATATAAAATATACAGGGACATCTAGAGTCTGAGATACGATGACTATGAGGACTCGATACTGTGGGTACTCGTTGCCCCTTGTGACTCGCGTCATGTTCCACGTATGAAGAAATTCAATAGAAAAACCAATAGAAATTTCATTAAATTACCAATAGAAATTCAATGGAATTTCTACTGGAATTCCAAGAGAATTTTATTGGACGACTACTGGCATCCTATTGGAAAATTCTATTAGTACTTTGCGCCATTAGTATAGGAGAAATTCAGTAGTAAATTCAATAGATGTTCATTTTTCTATGAAATTTTTTACTGTAAATCTTCCAAGTCTTTTCCCCTGTATTGCCACTTGTTCCACATAATAAAATCCAAGAAAAAAAAATTAGAAAATTCATGTCCAAGAATTTCCTGGAAAAATGGAAATCGAATGGAATCCCTCTCGAAATATGAAGCACATTCGTTTTTCATAATAAAATCCAACAAAAAAACTTAAAAAATTCAGGTTCAATAATTTCGAAGAAAAATGAAAATCCATTGACTTTTCCATTGGAGATCTTCTGTAGAAATGGCGCAAACAACAAATAGAATTTAGACGGTGTGAAAACCTATGTATTATATGGGGACATTTTCATTCTACTGTGCGTACATTATGAGGACATATAGAGTATACAGGGACATCTAGAGTCTACGATACGATGACTATGAGGACTTGATACTGTGGATATGAGTTACCCCTTGTGACTCTCGTGACGTTCCACGTATGAAGAAATTCAATAGAAAAAAACAATAGAAATTTCATTAAATTACCAATAGAAATTTAATGGAATTTCTATTGGAATTCCAAGAGAATTTTATTGGACGACTACTGTCATCTTATTGGAAAATTCTATTAATTCTTTTCGCCATTAGTATAGGAGAAATTCACTAGAAAAGTCAATAGATTTTCATTTTTCTATAAATTTTTTTACTGTAAATTTTCCAAGTCTTTTCCGCTGTATTGCCACTTGTTCCACATAATACAATACAAGAAAAAAAAATTAGAAAATTCAGGTTCAATAATTTCGAAAAAAAATGAAAATCCATTGACTTTTCCATTGGAGATCTTCTATAGAAATGGCGCAAACAACAAATAGAATTTAGACGGCGAGAAAACCTCTGTTGTTACGTCGTTGGCCGTTTGTAACTAGGTGGCGTTGCGCACCTGGCGGTCAATTTAAATTCCAATATGATCAGATTAATTCGATTGATAATTTAATTATTTTATTCTTACTGATACTGCGTAGCTGAACAAGTGTGCTCTGGCGGACAATGACATCTCTTTTAAAAATTCAATTACAGAGTTCTTATTCATGAGAGAAATAGGATAAACAGTTGAAAATAACGAAAGTATAAACAGAGTTAATATAAATATTGGACGACTATTGATTTTCTGACGTCGCCATAAATACCATAAAATTCAAACGTGAACCACTATAGAAAACAAATCTCAAACAAGACTCCCATTGTGTCTTTGTGTTTCGCCTGAGAACGTCATTGTTTGCCGGGCCCACGTGCGTCTTAAAATCTAGAAATAAGTGGGGGTGGCTGGCGACGGTTGACTGCGTCATAGTTTCGCCCAGCAACTCCCCACCACTTTTTGAGCTTAGCATGTATACCCCTTAAATGATATTAGAGAGAAAGAAAATGCGTATGCAATACGCATGGAGTGAGAGTTATGGGACCCTCCGAAGGGCAGTTTTTGGATAAGTTTCATTTAGTTCGACGAGTCCCTCTTTAGAGATCAGATCTTCTAGTTAAAATGATATTCAGAGTCTTGTAATATTATTAACTGAATGATTAAGTGAATAAATACTTTATGTGCTCTCCCGGAGCACTCAGTGTTTTGATTTATGAAGATTGAATAAACCCTCATCCAAATTGACATCGAAATCAAGGATTTATAAATTATTCATTGGATTGGACTTCGTTGGATTGCCCATCCGGGCTTCAGCTGTGAAACGTTCCTGCCTCCTTTATCCGTCAATTCGAATTTTGGCGCTGTTTTCCTAGTGACATCTGGGAGGACATAACACTGTATTATATGGGGACATATGCATTCTACTGTGCGTACATTATGAGGACATATAGAGTATACAGGGACATCTAGAGTCTACGATACGATGACTATGAGGACTTGATACGGTGGGTATGAGTTGCCCCTTGTGACTCTCGTGACGTTCCACGTATGAAGAATTCCATTAGAAATTCCATTAAATCACTAATAGAAATTGAGTCGAATTCCTATTGGGAGTAATAGAATATCCCAATAGAATTACAATAGAATTCCAATGGAAATTTCAATAGAAGTTCCATTGAATCACTAAAAGAAATTGAATGGAATCTCCATTGGAATTCTATAGTAATTCTATTGGAGAATTCCATTATTTTTCCGAGACATTTCTATAGGAGAAATTCAATAGAAAATTCAATAGCCATTCATTTTTCCATGAAATCTTTGAGCGTAAATTTTCCACGAATTTTCCGCTTTTTTTTCATTTGTTTCTCATAATAAAATCCAAGAAAAAAAACTTAGAAAATTCATGGCCAAGAATTTCATAGAAAAAAGCAAATCTATTGACTTTTCTATCAGACATCTTCTACAGAAATGGCGCAAAAAACAAATAGAATTTGGCTGGTGTGAAGATCTATGCAGTGATTCGTGTAGAAATTCGTATAGAAATGAACCGTATAGGAAATTTTCGTATAGAAATATCCGAATATCATATACGAAAAACCTATAGAAATGCTATACACAGTCCGTATAGAAAGATTCTATACGATTTTTTCCTACGTGTTCCTCCCTCAAATCGCATTCAGTTTTGCTGTTCTGCAAATTCAGGGATATATTGAATGGATTTTTATGGATTTCTAATGATTTTAAAGCGAAAATGAAACTGAAAACTTTGGTTTTCATTGATTTTTCCATGCAATCCTCAATTTTTAATTATGAAATTCCTTGAAGTTTCCGTGAAAAGTAAATAAGATGAAAATTTTCGAGAAGTGTACCGGAAAATCCAGACAAACTTTTTCAACAGTGTAGGAAAAGAAATTTTCCTGGCAAATATTCAAACATTACAATGTAACATATTGTTATGTAATGTGATCATTTGTCGAGAGAAATTCTGCATCCATCATGCCCTGCGGAAAAGCATACAATATATCCATCTTCGAATTTGAGTCCCCAAAATCATCACGGTCCTCGAAAACATATATATATATATATCTAACGGTGAGTTTGGGGACAGGAAAAAAAGAAGTCCAAAGACCTCTCAAATGATCCCAAACTCCATTATATGTTAAACAAACCAAAAATCCCCTTTAACTATACATTTCTTGACTACTTATTTCGATTTTGTTTAACAATTGGATCATATGGGACAGTATATATAATGGCGCATATGAGGACAAAGCAATTTGTTTGAATGACGACTACTATGGGGACATATATAGCAAAAAAAATTGGCATAAAGTATCTTTTGGGAACATTCATAGATTGGCGTTTTCGAGGACCGTGATGATTTTGGGGACTCAAATTCGAAGATGGATATATTGTATGCTTTTCCCCAGGGCATGATGGATGCAGAATTTCTCCCGACAAATGATCACATTACATAACAATATGTGTGACGAAATTCCAGGCGAATTCGTCACCTGCGGAACTCCAGGGTATTTATCTATAGAAAGGGGGAGAGAGAGAGAGAGAGAGAGAGAGAGAGAGAGAGAGAGAGAGAGAGAGAGAGAGAGAGAGAGAGAGAGAGAGAGAGAGAGAGAGAGAGAG